GTGGCCAAGCCGGGTATAGCAGCCACCGAAAGAAATAAACCTTTGAAAATGGCAAAAGGGCCTCCCGTCGCCCTATTAATATTAAGAAGAGGTTACTAATAAAGACGGGGGGGAAATAAATAGCCTTAAAATCCCATTTAAAAGCTTTATTTTTTTCGGCGACCGCAGTACCCGTTTTTGACCACAGGAGGGCACAGTTTTCCGTCCCGTAGCGTGACCACCGACGACGACGTTCCCAGTACGGCCGAGTTCCTGTCCATCCGGCGAATTCGTCCCCAACTTCCTGTCCGTTCGCAGCACGGTCCCCTGCTTTTTAAGCTCCTTTTTAGAGGCGGGGCCGGCGGGACACGCTCCAGGCTTTTTGGCGTCCGGGTCGGGAAGGGGGTTCCGACCCGTCTCGGGGGTCTCCTCGAAGGCTGCCAAGCAAGGCAGCCGTTGAATGGTGTTTTCCCAGCGCCCGAGTCCCGGGTGTAGAAGAACCAGTCGTATCGCGCTTCCCTGTGTTACCCCTTAAGAGGTTGCTCCTCCTGAAAGTGCACCCCGCTCGCCCCCTTCAAGCAAATCCAGGTGTTTTTATTCAAGAATAGTTTTGTTTGTCCCGCCCTGCTATTTCTTTAAGGAGATCGTACGTATGTAGGTTTGTATTTAGGTTTGATGTTTCTAAACTATATTTCTTAGAGATCCCTATGTATTAACATAGGTGCAGTATCAAATCTCTATTTGAAATTGTGTGCATTTTTATTAAGAAACGATCAATATAAAAATAAATGCAGTTTATTTTGAAAATGTGTATAACCTATCGTTCCCTTCTAGGTTTATCATTTAAAGGATGGATAAAAGGGATGAGACGTGAGAAGCTGCAACTAATGGCTTTTACTATTTTGTTCGCCGTCCATCTAACTTTGTAGACCTTCGTCCAAAACAAGTCAGGGTTAGGAAGGGTAGGAGATTCCTTCCTTTCCTCTCCAGGTAAGAGAACGGAAAAGCAGGTCTCTCTGGGGGCAGCAGGAGACCCGGGTCTTTGCAGAGTCCGGCTTGCAATTTTGCTAACTTCCCCCAGTCACAGCTGCATGGACTGATGTAGCGGCCAGGAGGAAGGGTGGGGACGCCTGCCGGCTGAAAGCTTCAGCCTTTTGGGAAGAGGCAGTGGAGAAAGGAGGTCACGCTCCCTGGATTTCCAGCCTAGAGCCTCCGCCGGATGGGTGACCCCCCCCCTTCCTGTGGCTGTTAAGAAGGAACTGGGGGGGGGGAAACAGGTAAGTTTCCCCTTTTTTTGCCACTTTCAGTGAGGTTAAGGCTTTTCCTTTTAAAGAGACAGGGATGGAAATGGAGTAAGGTTGGGAGCCCAGTAAAAACCCCAAGAGGAAGCGGGAAACAGGGTGGGAGGTTGCGATGGCCACCGCTCCTCTCAATATTGCAGTTTTGGTGGGAAATAGCGCGAGGGACAGCCTTCCCACTAGCAGAGCTTGTCAGTTCTTTGCTTCATTCTTTGCTCTAACCAAGAATAAAATAAACTCCAAATTGGATAGCAGTCTGTATGTTCTTTGTACGACTCGTACAATATTAATATTAGGCCATCCTAGGCTTTCTTAACTAGGTTTAAGAATTTATTTTATTCTCGTTTAGAGCAAAGAATGAAGGATTAGGAATTGAACATCTGTGAGCTTAGCAAACTTTTGAAGCAGATTTCTTCTTCCGCGCCTGCGTTGCAGCAAACGGGCCTCCCCTGGCCCTATTAATAAGGTGTTAATACCGTTAATAAAGATAGAGAATACCGTCATTTTAAAAGGCCATTAAAAAGGTTTATTTCTTTTGTTGTTGTTGTTGTTCATTGCGAAGTCGTGTCCGACCCATCGCGGCCCCATGGACAATGTTCCTCCAGGTCTTCCTGTCCTCTACCATCTTCTGGAGTCCATTTAAGTTCACACCTACTGCTTGAGTGATTCCATCCAACCACCTCGTTCTCTGTCGTCCCCTTCTTCTATTGCCCTCAATCTTTCCCAGCATTAGGCGCTTCTCCAGTGAGTCCTTCCTTCTCATTAGGTGGCCAAAGTATTTGAGTTTCAACTTCAGGATCTGGCCTTCTAAAGAGCAGCCGGGGTTGACCTCTTCTAGGACTGACCGGTTTGAACGCCTTGCAGTCCAAGGGACTCGCAGGAGTCTTCTCCAGCACCATAGTCCAAAGGCCTCCATTCTTTGGCGCTCAGCCTTTCTTATGGTCCAACTTTCACAGCCATACATTGCAACTGGGCAAACCATGGCCTGGACTGTACGCACTTTTGTTGGCAGGGTGATGTCTCTGCTTTTTAGTACGCTTTCTAGATTTGCCATAGCTTTCCTTCCCAGGAGCAAGCGTCTTTTAATTTCTTGGCTGCAGTCCCCATCTGAGGTGATCTTGGAGCCCAGAAAAATAAAATCTGTCACTACCTCCATTTCTTCCCCATCTCTTTGCCAGGAATTGAGTGGGCCGGATGCCATGATTTTGGTTTTCTTAATGTTGAGTTTCAAGCCAACTTTTGCACTCTCTTTCTTCACCCGCATCAAGAGGCTCCTTAGTTCCTCTTCACTTTCTGCCCTTAGAGTGGCATCATCTGCATATCTTAGGTTGTTGATATTTCTCCCGGCAATCTTAATTCCAACTGTTGTTTCATCTAGCCCTGTCTTTCTCATGATGTGCTCTGCATATAAGTTGGGGGCCTGTGAGAAGCCCATGATTATCATGGTGACTATAAAACCTTGAAACTGAATCCAACCCTGGAAAAGGCAAACTGAAGTTGTCCAAGTCACCAGCCTGGGAAGGACCTGTGCTGACTTGGAGATGAGGTAGAGCATGTTTGTCAGCCTGGGCAACTACCCTGTGGACTTCAACTTCCAGAACGTGGTGGGGAAGCAAATTTAAAATTAAAAAAAATAAAAGCACTCCAAGCTGGAGACTAGGAGACTCTGAATTCTCGTCCTGCCTTAGGCATGAAAGCCGGCTGGGTGAGTCTGGGCCACTTAAATTTCAGTTAAATGTTCAGACAAAAATGCCTGACTTTGAGGGGGCAACCTTGGCTCTTTGATGACTGGTGGACTTCAACTCCCAGACTTCCTGAGCCAGCCCTGCTAAGGCACGGAAAACTGGTCAAATCAGATACTGCGGCCAGAAAAATAAATAAACCTCTTTAAGATGATTATTCTTGATGATTAAAACCTTATTAATACGAATAAGCCACGATAGGCCTTAACTCGGTTTAAGATTGGAACCAGGATTTCTTCTGCGCCCGTGTCGCACCGACCGGGCCCCCCCGTCGCCACGTTAATATTAATAATAAGGCGTTAAGAATAAAAATAGAGAAGAATAAGCTTCAAATGCTATTCAAAAGCGTTTATTTCTTTGGGCGGCGGCAGTACCCGTTTTTGACCACAGGAGGGCAGTGTTTCCCGTCCCATAGCGTTAACGGGGAGGCCGTCGTAGGCCACTTGCCCAGGATCGGGACACCGAGAAGCTAAGCCCCAAAGCGCAGAGCGTCAGCCAAAGGGTCGCCACTCTATGCTCCTCCGAAAGGGACGGGCCGCTTCCCTCGGCCTTCTGCGCATGTCGGCCGGCTGGTTCTTGACGAGTAATCTGCGAGAGGCCCTCTCTGGACGGCGGGCTTCCTGTCCGTCGGTGTCGGCCGTCCCCCAGGTGCTGCGGTAAACGACTTCCGTCCCTTTCGTTGTTAATCTTCCCCCCCTACTTCCTTTCGGGTAGACCTCCTCAATATGGCCGTCTTCCTGTCCGCTCAAATTCGCCGTCCCCCGGGGTCTTTGACATGCGACCTTCCCAATATGGCCGTTTTCCGGTCCGTCCTTCTTGATCGTCCTTCCACTTCCTTTTTTTCCGGGGACCTTCTGGGCAGGGCGGACTCCACGTCCGATCAACGAGGTAAGCCTTGAAAACCCCATTCGAGAGGCTTATTTCCCTCGGCGGCCGCAATACCCGGTCCCATAGCATTTACCATCGAGGCCACCGTAGGCCTTTTCCACGGCCTCAATGCCGCTATCGCTAAGGGAGGGGAAAACAGTGCCCTCCCGTGGCCAAGCCGGGTATAGCAGCCACCGAAAGAAATAAACCTTTGAAAATGGCAAAAGGGCCTCCCGTCGCCCTATTAATATTAAGAAGAGGTTACTAATAAAGACGGGGGGGAAATAAATAGCCTTAAAATCCCATTTAAAAGCTTTATTTTTTTCGGCGACCGCAGTACCCGTTTTTGACCACAGGAGGGCACAGTTTTCCGTCCCGTAGCGTGACCACCGACGACGACGTTCCCAGTACGGCCGAGTTCCTGTCCATCCGGCGAATTCGTCCCCAACTTCCTGTCCGTTCGCAGCACGGTCCCCTGCTTTTTAAGCTCCTTTTTAGAGGCGGGGCCGGCGGGACACGCTCCAGGCTTTTTGGCGTCCGGGTCGGGAAGGGGGTTCCGACCCGTCTCGGGGGTCTCCTCGAAGGCTGCCAAGCAAGGCAGCCGTTGAATGGTGTTTTCCCAGCGCCCGAGTCCCGGGTGTAGAAGAACCAGTCGTATCGCGCTTCCCTGTGTTACCCCTTAAGAGGTTGCTCCTCCTGAAAGTGCACCCCGCTCGCCCCCTTCAAGCAAATCCAGGTGTTTTTATTCAAGAATAGTTTTGTTTGTCCCGCCCTGCTATTTCTTTAAGGAGATCGTACGTATGTAGGTTTGTATTTAGGTTTGATGTTTCTAAACTATATTTCTTAGAGATCCCTATGTATTAACATAGGTGCAGTATCAAATCTCTATTTGAAATTGTGTGCATTTTTATTAAGAAACGATCAATATAAAAATAAATGCAGTTTATTTTGAAAATGTGTATAACCTATCGTTCCCTTCTAGGTTTATCATTTAAAGGATGGATAAAAGGGATGAGACGTGAGAAGCTGCAACTAATGGCTTTTACTATTTTGTTCGCCGTCCATCTAACTTTGTAGACCTTCGTCCAAAACAAGTCAGGGTTAGGAAGGGTAGGAGATTCCTTCCTTTGCTCTCCAGGTAAGAGAACGGAAAAGCAGGTCTCTCTGGGGGCAGCAGGAGACCCGGGTCTTTGCAGAGTCCGGCTTGCAATTTTGCTAACGGCCCTGCGCAGCTCTTCCTTCCCCGGAGGGGGGGGGCTCCCCAGTGCCCGGGAGGCCGGCCTGACTCAAAGACGCCCCCCCCCGAGCGACGGAGGCAGCCGCCCTCCCCGGGTGCCCGCGGGCGGCCCCTTGGCGGGTCGGCGTCTTCCAGCCCGGCGGGCGAGGCTCCTGGGGGTGCCGGTGGAAGGGGGGGGGGTAGAGCCCGGCCCTTTTCTTACTCCGCCGGAGTCGCGGCGGAGGAATCGGGAGACGAACCGGCAAAACCCCCTCCTCCTCCTCTTCCTCGGTGGTCCAAATCCTGCCCCGACCCCGGAGAGAGGCTGGATCCGTGGGGGCCCCCCCGCCGTCCTCCCCTCTCCACCCGTGGCCGATGGCAGGCCGGAGGGCCGCCTCCCTCTCCCGTGTCTGGGGAAAACGGAGGTTTCTTGGAGCCTGGACCGAGATGGCCCCTCGCCCAGTTGGAGTGTTGCTGTCTGGGGCCAGGACGGCCCTTGGAGACAGACGCAGAAGCCGCATCTGAGGCAAAATGCAGCTGGTCAGACTCCCATCAGGTCATAAGACGGGCGGTCCTTGCTTAGCGACCAAGTACCCCAGAAGGTACTTATGACCCGGTTCTGAAGCTCTGATGGCAGCACATGCACCCACTTGTGATCGCGTGCCTGCATTTCAGGCAGTTGGCAAGTGGCTTGCTTTGATGGCCTGTTGCTCAGAGTTCCTCGGTCGCACGATGTCTTTTTCTGGACCCCAGCTTTTTTTGTGCCCGTAGGAATGCAGTGACTTGCTTAACAACTGTGGTATTTGCTTAATGACCACTGCAACAAAGATGGTAAAATCAGGTTGGTTGTGCCTCAGCTTAACAACCTCATAACGTACGATGGAAATTCCAATATCTGTTACAGTTGTACATTGAGGACCCACCTGTAACATCTATCTTAACCTATTTGGGTGATAAATCTCGGAGTTATTGTGTTCTTCCCTCAGGAACCCAGAGAATTGGCTGTTTATAAACAAAGACTTAAATTATGTTTAAATTAACAATCAAAATATTTTGGAGCAATGTTCTTGCATGAAGAGATAACATGGGGTGTGAATGGCTTCAGTTTAGACGCCCAGCCCAGCTTAGATGTTCCTGTTTCACAAGGGTTCTGTGTGTCTATTTTATTCTTGTTTTACTCTCCCTCTCCTGTCTTGTGATCCACTTTGCAAGCTCCCTTAGCTTTCTGCCCAGACAGTGGGCATCCAGGCAGGCAAACCTTTCTGGCGTGGTTTGGTAGAAAGCAAGTCATGTACATGTCATCCCACAGGTTCAGCTAATCTGCAGATCTCTCTCTCGTTAGAGGCATTCAAGCAGCCACAAGCTCTCCTGGTGTCTTAAAGGCTTGGGTTGTGGGTTTCTTTTAGGCCCATCAGCAGAGCAGAAAAGCTGACCGCTGGCTGGCCGTGGGGAAGTATGAGGAAGCCGTTTCGTGTCACCGAAAGGCAGCAGGTGAGCCTTCGTGAGTGTTTGCTTGAATCCCCCAGGCCTCCCTACTAGAAGCTAAGTCAGCGCAGGGTGGTGAGCCGGTGAGATCGTCACGGGGTCAGGGGCAAGGATCACAGTGGAAAGTCTGGCTTTGGGTGAAGTGGTGAAGGCACCGGGCTAGAAACCAGGAGCCTGGGAGTTATAGTCCCGCCTTTGGCTTGAATGGCAGCTGGGTGACTTTGGCCAGTTTCTCTCTCTCTCTCTCTCTCTCTCTCTCTCTCTCTCTCTCTCTCTCTCTCTCTCTCTCTCTCTCTCTCTCAACTCCTGGGTTGGGTTGGTTGTTTGAGGAAAATAAGACGAGGGAGCAGTTTTAGCTGTGTTTGCCGCCTTGAATTATTTATCAAAATAATAAAGGTAGGATGTAAATGAAATAAAAATAAAAAGTGTGTCATCGGAAACGGAATCACAATTGTTACAGTGAATCAACAGCTACGGTCTTCTCACAATGTTGCTTGTAAAGGGATTGCAGAAAGCAGTTTGACTGCCAAGTTGTACTTCAATTATAGCTTGAAGATCCAAGTTTGAAAATTAAGGTGATTTTCCATTCACTTATCAAAAGTTGCCGTGGGTGGAGGAGGGGGGCTCCTTTTGTCCTCCCTGGTCTGTGCCAGAGGGCTGCAGAAGCCCTGCCTGACCGAGTCACCCGTCCTCCAGATCGCTTCAGATGGGGAAGGGCTGCTGCGCAAGCGGGCCTCTCTAAACTATGTCACCATTTTGTGTCTTATGCAGCGTATCTTCTGGAAGCTATGAAGTTGACTCAGTCAGATCAGGTGAGGTTTCCCTCCTCAGCGGCTGCTCTAGCGATGAACCATCCTCAGTGGGACTCGGATACCAGCCAGGAACCTTGGCTGCACCTGACGCTTGGGTGGGGGGGGGAAGGGGGGGAGGGAGACCCAAGACATAGTAAGAGGGAAATGAGAAAGAAACAGCATACCCGAGGGGAAGAAAGGGAGCCCCGTCCAGTCTGGCCAGCAAAGAACAGACAGTCCTCAACCTATGATCACATTTGGCCTCAGAATTTTCAGTGCTAAACAATGCAGCCATTAAGCAAGTTGTGTAAATTTTCAAACCTTTTTTCCCACAGTTGTTAAACAAATTGCCATGCTTATTGAGCAAGCCTCCCCCATTGACTTTGCTTGCTGGAATTCAACTGAGAAGGTCACCTGTAGTGATCATGTTACTCCAGGACCCTGTAACAATTATAAATACACACTGGTTGGCAAGTGCCAGAGTATCGGTTGTGACTGTGGTGGTCGTAACTGCGAGGACGGGTCATAAGTCAGTTTTTCAGCATCACTGTAACCTTGAACAGTTGCTAAACAAATGGTTGAAAGTCAAGGGCTTCCTGTACTAATTTTGGTGAATTTAGCACTTAAATAATAACAGATATTGGAGGGATTATGGCTTGTATGCCTCGCATATTTATTGCTGCATCAATAGCCAGTTTGGTCCGATGGTTAAGGCACCAGGCTGGAAAGCTAGAGATTGTGAGTTCAAATGCTGCCTTAGCCATGAAAGCTGGCTGGGTGACCTTGGGCCAGTCATTCCCTCTCAACCCCACCTCACAGGGCTGCTGTGATGGGGGAAACAGGAGGAGGAGGAGGAAGGTGTGCTGGGGAGGTCGCTACCTTGAGTTCCGTGTAAAAAATAATAAAGTTGGCATACAAATAAACAGCTAAATACAATAGAGATTTACCCACGATAAGAGTTTACCCACTGCTGAGTTTGGTCAGTTAATTTTCTGTCTGAGCACAAATATTCCTCACTGTTGTTCGCTGTCTTGTGCAGGAACTGGGCAGCCCTCAGTTAATTCAGGGGGAAAGAAAGTAAAATCATTTATCAGCCACCTCAAACGGTGTGGCTCTTCACTCCTATTCCTGTGGAACTCCTCGCCACTGGGTTGATGCCAGCTTCTCCAGGGAGGAAGACCAGCCTTCCTCAGCTGCAGTCTGGAGGGAAAGGCTGGGCTGGGGTGGCCAGCTGTGTGTGTCATCGTTGCTTGCTTTACATAAAGACGAACTTCTTCAGATGCCAAAACTCATTCCACGAGAAGCTGATAAAGGCGACTTATTCTTTTGTTTCTCGGCAGGCCCAATTATCCCTGGAACTGCAAAGGGAGAGTCACCTGAAACAGATCCCCCTTATCCAAGAACAATGGAAAAGAGCAAAAAGGGACGAAAGATTAAAAATCCGCCCTCTTGTGGACAAAGAGAGCACGGCCCATCTGCAGAGCTCCTCTAAGGCCTCAGCTGGGGAACCTGATGACCAACACGGAACGCCTGCCAGCCTCAAGTACAGGCCCTCCTCGGAGAAGGAAAGGAAAGGGTTCCGTGGGGTCTTGGACAGGGATCCAGACACATTGCTCTTTCTGCTTCAGAAGAGGAAGGAGCCGCCTCTGGAAGTGTGTATGAACAACAGACCTCCAAAGGATGACAAGATGAAAATGGAGGAGCAGGCCACCAAAATTGCAGTCCTAGAACAGCACGTGGAGATGCTGTTTGCTGAAAATGAGAGACTGAGACGGGAGAACCAGCAGTTAAAAGCTGAGAGAGCCAGGCTGCTGAAGTCTCCCCTGGAAAAGGAGCTGGATGCAGATGCTGACTTTGTGGAAAAGTCAGAGCTGTGGGGCCTCCAGCAGCTTTCGGAACCTGCCGCTGCCGCCGCCGCCACCCCCTGGCAGAAATTGGCTGTCAGTGCTGGGAAGGCCAAGGACATTCCCATCCCCAGCCTTCCACCCTTGGACATTCCCTCCCCGGAGTTCCCTCTGGTGGAGCTCTCGGAGGATCTCCTGAAGGGGCTCATGAACAGCTAAAGGAGGAAGACCATTGGTGGGGAGGTGGGTTCCCCCTGCGCTTTGGGGAAGGGACGCTGCTGAGACAGCCGTAACTGACTTGCTCAGTGAAAAAAATGCTTGATGTCATGAATTGGTGAAGCAAAGGTGGAACCATTTACCATCGTTGGTAAAAGCTGAGCCTTCTTTGTTCTTTCTTCAAGCCAAAGGACTGAAGGAGGGAGACTTGAGCCAAAGGTCCTGCGGGGCGCTCTCTCTCTCTCTCTCTCTCTCTCTCTCTCTCTCTCTCTCTCTCTCTCTCTCTCTCGACTGTTCTTTGGGTGTAACGGATCACTTTATGCCATAAAGTAAGGTAAATCCCACGTGGCAATGCAAGACACTTTCTATCATGCATCGGATTGCTGTTTCTTTTAATTATGCACAGAAAGTAGTCAACAATTCTTGTTTCTCTCCCTTTGCAGGATGGATCTGTGTGCCACACTTTGCACTTCTAGTACTGTAATCTCAGTCAATCAGAAGTAAAGCTAAATTTCCAGATATTTTTAAGGACCCAAATTTAATTCTGCTGAAATAGTTTGATTTGTTTACATAATCAGGGTGCTTCATAATATGTTTTCTGTATATGAAACAAACATGGTTCTAAACAAATAGATAAGAATAATTGTTGTTGCATGACAGGAGGGCATAGTTGACGAAGAATAAAACGTTCCAGGTCTATCTTGAATCATGTATTTGTTCTTTTTAACATGCAAGTATTGTGTTTCAGAATTCCAGTACTGAATCTGACAGTAGCCTGCCTTATGCAGTAGGATGTTTGAAGATTTTAACAGACATCATTTTGATAATTATTCCAAGATGACAAGGATTGAACCAGGCCCCTGTTAATGTTTTCCAGACAATGATTTTATTCTGAATATCAGGACATTGAAGCATCTGTGAAATCTCCTTTCTCAGTATTATTTGTCTATTGATCTGCATTTTCTCCTTTAGTTTTCCCCCACAGCATCAGCCCTAATAGATCCAGCAATAGAGAGAAATGATTGCACCCAAATCATCCAGTAAACTGTTATGATCTCCCAGTTCTAGTTCCAACACCAAATTATTTTCTGAGTAAAAACATGTAGCCCAGCAGAGAAAGTGTACTTTTTAAAGAAATGCTTAATTGCAGTGGGACAACAAAAAGCTTGGGGTCTGGTTAAGAGTTTCATTTTGACCCATTTGGAGCATTCTGCAAGCTTATTGCAGCTTAGATCATGCTCCGGGTGCTCAAAATAGTCAGTTCCATGTTCAAAACAGCAAGCTTTGCATTCAGTGCCCCATTTTGTGAAATTTCATTCTCTCTCTTTCTTTGCTCCACTAATTTCCTCTCCAAATACTTTTCCTTGATCCTCTCTGTTCATAATGTACGTACAATTTCTAACATGGCTTCGGCCTCAAAACATTCAGCTGGTTGTTGCAGTTGTTAACTCAAAGAAAATGTAGCTCATGAAGCGTATTTAAGGAAAGCGATTTAGACCTATGTATTGATTTGAGAACCATTGAGAACCAATTGATTCTATAACTCTTATCCTCCTATGGAGTTTTTGGATAATGGAGATTTGCGAAGGACAGCTGTGGGATTGGGGGGGGGGGTACCGAGAATGATGGGACGAACCGTGCAAGAATTGAAATGTCTGGCTGAAGAAACCTGGGAATATGGGTTTCCCAGAGAAAGGGTAGAAAAGATAGGCCAAAGGATTGTCCACAAGGATCCCCAATGGAAAGGAAACTGCCCCAAACGACCACTCTCAGGAGGGGGTTGCCTGGGCAGCAGACCCCCCCATATGCTGGGGGGTCGGTCAAGAGCAGCTTGGAAGAGAAACAATGGCCAGAGGAGCCAGCCAGAAGAAGGAAGGGGGGGATTCCAGGAGGGCACAGTTTTCCGTCCCGTAGCATTACCACCGACGACTCCCAGGACAAGAGTTTCTCACTGCTTTTCAAAAAAGATGTTGAGACTTTGGAAACAGTTTAGAGAAGAGTATATAAGACAGGGGTGTCAAACTGCCGGCCCACGGAATACTTGGGTATGGTTAGGAGGGCACTGACTTTTCTAGGCTGCCCTATCTATGTTTCCTGGTAAAATACATGGGAAAATCCCATTGGAGGAAAATTCCAATTAGGGTTAGGGTTACGTCACCATGAACTCCTAGAGCAGTGGTTCTCAACCTGTGGGTCAGGACCCCATTTGGGGTCGAACGACCATTTCACGGGGGTCGCCAAACCACGCTGTCCGCCATTTTTTTCCCTTTTCCCTAGCTGTCCTACTCCCTCTTATTGGTGGCCACACCCACTTGGGGGTCACCACAACATGGGGAACTGTATTATGGGGTCACGGCATTAGAAAGGTTGAAGACCACTGTCCTAGAGCAAAATGGACATCACCAAAAAACTCGGAGTGCTTGGGTATGGTTAGGAGGGCACTGACTTTTCTAGGCCGCCTTATCTATGTTTCCTGGTAAAATACATGGGAAAATCCCATTGGAGGAAAATTCCAATTAGGGTTAGGGTTACGTCACCATGAACTCCTAGAGCAAAATGGACATCGCCAACGAACTCGGAGTGCTTGGGTATGGTTAGGAGGGCACTGACTTTTCTAGGCCGCCTTATCTATGTTTCCTGGTAAAATTCATGGGAAAATCCCATTGGAGGAAAATTCCAATTAGGGTTAGGGTTACGTCACCATGAACTCCAAGAGCAAAATGGACATCGCCAATGAACTCGGAGTGCTTGGGTATGGTTAGGAGGGCACTGACTTTTCTAGGCCGCCTTATCTATATTTCCTAGTAAAATACATGGGAAAATCCCATTGGAGGAAAATTCCAATTACGGTTACTGTTAAGTCACCATGAACTCCTAGAGCAAAATGGACATCACCAACAAACTCGGAGTGCTTGGGTATGGTTAGGAGGGCACTGACTTTTCTAGGCTGCCCTATGTATATTTCCTGGTAAAATACATGGGAAAATCCCATTGGAGGAAAATTCCAATTAGGGTTAGGGTTACGTCACCATGAACTCCAAGGGCAAAATGGACATCGCCAACGAACACGGAGTGCTTCGGTATGGTTAGGGGGGCACTGACTTTTCTAGGCCGCCGTATATATATTTCCTGGTAAAATACATGGGAAAATCCCATTGGAGGAAAATCCCAAATAGGGTTAGGGTTACGTCACCATGAACTCCTAGAGCAAAATGGACATCGCCAACAAACTCGGAGTGCTTGGGTATGGTTAGGAGGGCACTGACTTTTCTAGGCCGCCTTATCTATATTTCCTAGTAAAATACATGGGAAAATCCCATTGGAGGAAAATTCCAATTACGGTTACTGTTAAGTCACCATGAACTCCTAGAGCAAAATGGACATCGCCAATGTACTCGGAGTGCTTGGGTATGGTTAGGAGGGCACTGACTTTTCTAGGCTGCCCTACCTATGTTTCTTGGTAAAATACATGGGAAAATCCCATTGGAGGAAAATCCCACTTAGGGTTAGGGTTACGTCACCATGAACTCCTAGAGCAAAATGGACATCGCCAATGTACTCGGAGTGCTTGGGTATGGTTAGGGGGGCACTTACTTTTCTAGGCCGCCGTATATATATTTCCTGGTAAAATACATGGGAAAATCCCTTTGGAGGAAAATTCCACTTCGGGTCTCCTGCTTGAGCAGGCGGCTGGACTAGAAGACCTCCGAGGTCCCTTCCAGCCCTATTCTGACATTTAGTTCACCTGCAATGATGACTGATTTCCTGGCTTCTGGAGCAGTCCAGGGATTTCCCTCTAGTGCCCTATTCTCCACTTCTCTCCCTTCTGAGTATTCTGAGATCAGCCAAAGTAAAATCCCACCTCCTCGATATTTTGATGGTCTCACAATCCCAGGAATCCAAGCCAGCCAGTCGTGGGAATTTGAGCTCAATCTATTCAGGAGTCCCAGACTGGTAAATCCCGAATTAAGGCCTGGAAACAGCTGGATTCCTCTGGCTTCTGAGAAGCAGCAAACAAAGCCCTGGCCGAAAGCCCATGATTGCACGGACTGGTCAAGAGAGACACACCTGCAGGAGTAGCCCCTTTTCTGTCCCTGCCAAGAGACCAGTCCAAGGGGTGATTAATCACAAAATAAACAAAGGCTGGGAACATAGAGCGGGACTGAGCAGTGGGAGCACAGTGGCTCAGGCCAGGTGGGTGGGGAGATGGCCCAGGAAGATAGATGGTCCTTGAAAAGCTTGATGCTTCGGAGGAAGGCTTCAGCCCGGAGGAGCGACCAGGGACAGAAAGGAAAGGGAATCTGGAGCATACTTCAAGTGGACTCATTTCAGTCGCACCCTCTCTCTCCCCTGCCCAGCCAGAGAATCGAATCTGGAAGAAAATGTGCTAATGAGGATTTTTAATTGGGCTTCTCTGCCTGATCGTAACTGAAACAAGAGATGCTCTATTTGACAGCGTAATCTATTATTGCAAAAGGCTCCGCAAAGGCTTTGTTGATTACATCCACCGATTAGCCTAACTATGTCCCTACTAATTTGAGAAACCATGAATCACGGGGTTCAAATGGGGCTCAGATGAGTCAATTATTCTAAGCAGGAATATCAAAACCTCATATTTTTTACACCAAGGAATTAAGCCAGCTAAGTTCAACAACAAACCAAAATGAGCTTTATTACACATTCTCAATTGACCAAGTCATTAGCAACACGGAAGAAGCTTTTGCTAATTTTTCAGCGTGAGCAGCGTTCGTTGTCTTGCCTTAAGGATCCCTTCTGGAGGAATTTATTATCTTGAAAAACATTGGATGACGGGGGGGGGGCAGGCTGGGGGGGGGGGGAGCAGCCGAGGAAGCCTTGTTGCTGACTGCTGGAGCCGGTGCTGAAGTTATTTCCTACAAGATTCTGTTTGAGCTTTCAGGATAACTTTATGCCAGAAGAAAGCACGGGAGAAGCGATAGGCGCTGATGTCTTTGGAACTGGTCTGTATTCACAAGTTCAAACCATTTCAGAAGGCAAGCAGGAGGCGGAGAACAAAAAAGCCTCAATATGTTCAAAAACATATCAATGTGTTTCTCAAAGGACTCATGACTTTATGGACTTGTCCATGGAGTGCCTGGCCACTTTGGCAACGCAGGGTGGGAGGGGTTGTCCGCTAAAGTGAGTCTATAGGAAGTATTTCCCCAAAAGACTATAATAACACTGATCATCGTATTAAAACCTCTCATAAAACGCGGCTCTTCCAGAGAGAAAAGCGTCTTTGCTCAAGGATGGTCACTGAGGGATCCTGGAAAGGCCGGGAGCGCTTTCAGCATCAATTAAAGGAGACCAGGGGCTCTGATCTCAGCCCAGGATAAGTTAACTGAGTTAATTGAGTTAACTCATTCTCTGGATTCACACCGTACATTGAATCTTACACAAATACATCAGGATGGGCTTGCAGAGAGAGGGGGGGGGGGAGAAAGGAGCTAAGCCCAGCCAGCAGAGTTTTCACTGTTGGCCTGTGAGCCACAGAGTCTTTGGGGGAGGAATCCCGGTCTGCTTTGAAAGGATCTCCTCTTGCTGTCCTTCTCTGTCCCACATCCTCCTAGCCCCGTGCTTTCTCCCCCTCCACCACCACCTCTCTCCAGGTGAACCACTCCTTGGATCTGAGGGACACTGGGGCAGCCACGGACACTTCTGCCATCATGCCCACCCGTTTCTAAAGAA